GGATCCTCCTCCGTCCTGCCCCGTCCCCCGCTGCCCCGCCGTGCCCTGCCCTCGGTATTTACAGCGATAACCCCGGGACCGGCCCGTTCGGGGCTCAGGTGCGCAGGAATTGCACAGAAACGCTGCCAGGACTCGAGTTACAGCTTATCAGACCGGCACGTCCTGAGCCAAGTAGCTGTGATTAAAAAATCATTTGTAGATGTTTTCTCCCCTTAGTTGTTGCAGTGTCTGTACTGATGTGTTGCCTGCCTGTGGGGATTGCAGTCTTCCTTCATAAAATCTTACATGCAGCAGTAGATCTTACTGTCAGGCAGTGCCTTTTCGCTTTGCATGCGGGATTAATTACCTTTTATTAATTTTGCCTTATTGCTCTTAGTTATAACACTAAAAAGCCCTAAAAATAGTGCTTTTAATCTCCTTATAGCTGCACTGTGGAGTATCAATTTTTTTCCCAAGAATAGCATTAACTGTAAACAAAAGTTTTACAACTCTAATGCTCTTGTCATAAACCCGTCACTTTAGATTTTACTTTATCCTTCTCTGGGTTTGTTTTGATTTTTTTGTCCCAGAGGGGCAAACTCATGGAAGAGCATTTCACCTGTCCTAACACTTGATCTGTATTATTAGCCAATAGAGTTAAGTTTTGGGGTTTTGTTGACATTATAGAAGGCATGTTTTTTTGGACTTCAGACTCTTCTTCTGTTCACAGCTGAAGGAATATCAGCAGAAGAACAGCCCTGGAGCAACTGCAGGAACTAAGAAAAAACGCAAAACTAAAGAAGGCAGCAGACCTGCCACTCCCACCACCGATGACCAGCAGCCTCCAGAGAACGTGAGTGCCTCATTCTTTCTGTTAAATCATTTCCCACCTCCCTGCTCTTTGGCTTTCTGGACAACCTGAGCGGTGCTGGGAAGTGGTTGTGCTGGTGTAACAGCTGAGTGGTGTAGGTGCTCTATGAAGTGTCCTACAATAGTTGGCAGCTGCCAACTTTCCAGTGGTGGAAGGTGCAGCTGGATCTGGGGTCTGTCCAAAGTGGTGGTGACTGTGCCCTGTGCGTGCCCAGAGCTGCTGTTCTGAGGGGTTTGCTCTGGACGAGGCTGGTTCTTTGGCTGCCTTTGATTGACGTTTTCTCTCTGTCCTTCTCTGAGCCGTTTCTCTTTCCCCTTTTCTTTCGCCTCCTGTAGATTCAGAACATTCTGAAGGTGCTGGTGTCAGACCTTAACCGCTCCAATGGGGTAGCCATACCCTCATTGGACAAGAGGAAGGTGAGGCAGTGCTCGTGTCCCTCGCAGTGACTCGCTGTCCCTCCCGCATGCTTCGGGTTCTGTCCACACTGACTGACCTCCACCTTCGGGGTGGAGCCTTGTCCTCACACATCCATTGTCAGTTGCTTCAGTTCTGTTGCTGTTTTTATTAACATGGAGCTCTTTGTGTTTCCATCGTGCTTGTTTCCTCCTCTTTTGTGTCAAACTTAACACGTGGAAAAGTGAACCTTGTCAAAAAGTCTGCTCAGTGTGTCCTTGAGACAGCTGAGCTTTGAGGAAAACAGGAAGAGGTAGTGCTTTCTTAGCCTGTATTTCTCCTGCTCTGAGTGTCATTGCTTTGTCTCCTGGAGCCTGGTTTCTGAAGGGCACGTTTCTGCTCATCTCCAGGCAGGGAGCTGCCCTGTCAGGTTATTCCAGCCACCCATGTTATGACAGGCAATGGAACTGGCACAGGTGATGTACAGTCTGGCAAGTGCTGTGGGTTTAAATATGCTTGGGCAGGAAGTCATATACTTCAAAGCCAAGCATGTACAGGCTTTACTGTATTCACATTCCCAAGATCCTGAAGAGGAAAGGGCAGGAAGTGTGCCAAGAAGGGATAGAAACATGTTCAGAAGCAAACATGAACAAACAGCTTTTTAAAAATACTTTTTAAAATACTAGTTTTCAGACAGTCAGTTTATTTAAATGAGGCTCAAATTATGATAGCAACTCAGGGAAGTCAAATTTTGTAGGCCACAGTGTTCTTCCAATTTTGTTGTACCAAAGCCCTGCTTTTAATTTTCACTTGCATCATTTTGGCAGCGTTGTTTCAATGTAGTTGTCATGAAGTAACTCGTTATTATATTTACTGCATATCCATGGGTCTCCAGCAATAAATGTAACTATAGTAATCACATGGGGTACCTGATAGATGCAGTGAAACCTGCAAGATGGAATGGAGTTCACTCTGAATTGCCTTTGTGTCCTTTTTCTTCTTTTTTTTGGTGTTCTGTCCACCATACAGCAGCTGTTCTGTCCAACACAGAGTTCCTCCAGCTGGACCGTGTAGGTTCTGTATCAGTAGAACTTGAGTGTTGTGAGGACACACTGCCAGCTTTGGGGTGCTGGGTGTGCCTGTCCAGCCTCACAAAACCTGTGTTGTGACTGAAGTGTCATTCTTGTCCTGGGACTATTTTCAGTTAACACTAATAAGCTCAGTGTAATTTAAATCTCAGAGAAAGAGACTTGTTTCACATTGGAGGCTGTGATGAAGATGGGTGGTCCAGGGCTGTTGCTGAGGTGATGTTTGGCCTTGCAGTGAAGGCCTACCTGTGTCTGCAGCTTTAGTTCTGTTCTGCAAATGGAGAATTCATGACTCTTTTCATTCTTGTTTTCCCTTTTTTTTTTTCTCTTTTCTTTAGAGATCTGATTGGCTGTTATGGAATTTGTGGTTTGTTGTGCCTGTGGTTTTAGGAATAATTTGAAAACTAACCTTTAATTGCAATATATATGGAAAGAAAGGCTTCTCTTTCCAGTTGCTGTCTTGTAAAAGCCCTGAGTCAGGAAAATGCTGTTCAGAAGCTGGATGCTAATAGGGCAGAAAAGCTGATCGTTGGCAGCTGAGCTGCTGCTGCCATTGGTGTCTGATGTGAGGCAGAGCCCTCCCTTCTCACCCACTTCAGCCTTCTTGGCTCTGAAACACAGAAAAAACAGCAAAATAGGAGCCTTTGTGTGAAAGCAAACAGACCCTACTATATGCTAAGCTGAGCAGAATTACTTTTTATTCTATATTATTGGAAGCTCACAATGCATAATTTCCATATAAATGTTTTGCTACTAATGCTTTCAGTTTCCAACAATTTCAGTTCTTCAAATAGTTTGTTGGTTTTTTTTTTAAGTTTATTTCAAAACTCTCATTGTGAAGGCAGAAGGAAGGAGTTCTTTTGGTTAAGGCACGTTACTGGTTTTTGCATCTTGAAGCATTGAGCTAAAAGAATGTCCTGATCAGAAGAAATTAAGGAAAAATTTTTGAGATGTGCTGGGGAAGGAATTCCTCCTGTCCCTCTGATGTTTATATTGGTGAGTGTCTGACTGATGAAGGTGAAGTAACCTTTAGCTGGAAGAAGTGGGGGAGTTCCTCACCTTCCTATAAGCACCTAACATATATTGCTCCTTGAGGGCACAAGTATCTGTCCTGCTAAAAAGAAATGCAGAAAATTCTGTTTCTGTCTGCAGTCTTCCAGCTTACTGTTTTCATTAAATCTGTCTTCACTGTTGCTGTATTAACCTTGCTACTGGATTCATGAGTGAAGTGCTGAGCAGGTAAACAGGGAATGCCAAGAGAGGGAGATTTCTTGTTTCCCGTGAATGCCACGAAGGAAGTGACTGAAATAAGAGGGAACTTTTCCAGGTGGAATTGGCAGAGAGCTGCAGTGTATTGGTGTGGTTGAATGTTGAAAGATTATCTCATCTGTTTTGTGCTGTTTTTAAGTGATGACTTACTGGAGATGGATGATGAAATCAAACAAATTGCCATAAAACATGAGAGCACTGCTGGGCTGTTATGGCTCTGGAATGCTGTGCAAGAGATTAAATGGTCCAGTTTACTGTGGCTTGGTAGAGGGGGCATCAGATGCCATTCATCCTCCCACAAGGGCTGGATGGGAACTTGCATTGCTGTCCAGAAATAGTGTTTTGGCCCTTCTCTTTTCTGTTTGGATTCTTCTAGTCATGGGATCCATAGTTGCAGCAGGGCCACGGGCACCTGCTCCCAGCCACCTCCCTTTGGCCTGTTCATAAATGTCCTGTTTCTAAACTGGGGGTTCATGGCATGCCACAGATTTCACTGAGTTTTAGATGGAGCACTTGAGTTTGACTAGCCCAGTTCTCAAGTAGTCACTAACCTGTTCATTTCCATCTTCATTTGCATACAGTGACCTGTGTTTTCCCCAGGCACAGCTCTAAGGTGGTGTTTTTCAAAGCACAGTGACATCTGCCCTCACTTGCTTTTTGGGGAACCTTTTGCAGTGAATCTCA